CTCTGTCAGCAGACACAGACAAGACAAGTGGTATGGGCATATTGATACAATGATAAAACGGCACATCAAAACCATAATTGAATACTCACTGGCTTTAATGTAATTTTTGTTAGAATTAACAAAATTTTATTCATAAATTCTTAAACCATTATTAATAAATAATAATGCAACTAAGGGTTTACCATTGGGAACTCTGATGACATGAATTCCTTCACTTATTTTTTTATGATGTTGCTGTTATTTTATTTTTCTCAAGCAATTGTGTGTGTAAACATAATTTTTGTTCTTAAAATTGTTTGTGCGATTTCTTTTTCTCCAAAATGTCATCTACAGAGTTTTTAATGGTCCACCCCTCAAATAATTACACCATACTCTTGTCAGGAATATAATAAATACACTATAAATACATTTTTTCAAAATTAACTTGAATACCGTTTGTATCTAATTTACATCTACTGATCTAACTTTATTTTCAACTGGAATTTAATTTTGCAATTTTCGTTAAAGGGATGAAACTGTGTATTTTTTCCCCTATATTTTACATTCAACTCCAACTGCATACAAAAAACCCAAAATCTCTTTTCAGAGAAAATTAATCCCAGCAATAATAAAGTATTTTACAGTGTATTTCTAAATCCTAATTCATTATTTAAAATGGAAAAAACTATCAGGTCCAATATAGGAAGTGTTTGTTAGTAATAGACAATAGGCAATTATTCAAATCCTTATACACTGACCGAATGATTGACAGCATGAATAGCCAAGCCAATCAGTGGATGTATCACATGTGATTTCCTGCAGAAATAAGAGCCAAGACATGGTGTTATTCAAAATATACTTTTAAATGTTTCCAAGTTGTGTCCAACTAGAATAAACTTCTAGAGTTTTATATCAAGCATCTGATGACTCATAAAGGTGGCTCGCTTGCGAACCTGGAAGTTTTGACGGCCATCAAAATATAATCATGCGTATGGCACTAATCAGAATCTGTATTTCTTTGAAATTATGTCAGTTGAGATGATTTTACATATAATAATATTGTCACAAACAAGAAACTACTCAAGTAAACCTCACAACGTCAAAATAGGGGTGCAAATTTTCTTCATCGCTTAAAATAATAAGGGTTCATAAATAACTTTCATATACCATGTATGGTGATATGAAACACGGTTACTAAAAGTAACTGAGTATGAAATGAAGATCTCATGAAAAACGAATTCACACTCTTTGCTAGCGTGGAAAACAATTCCATTCCATGCAAATCAATCCAAAATATTTCTAACCAATAGCATCAGAGAATCCAGTGAACACACGGAAAAGTTAGATTGGGTAAACCGAATTGAGCA